TGTGTGTGTGTGTGTGTGTGTGTGTGTGTGTGTGTGTGTGTGGAGACAAACAAGGAAAGAGGAAAAGTTGCTGAGCAAAATCAAACAAAACCGCACTTGCCCACAGATTTGGTGAATGGAGTTTTCAAATCTCTGGGTAAAATGTTTGTTAACTGAAGAATACTCTTGAAAGCTGGGAAATGGTGATCAGATTAACTTCCCCTGCCCCAAAGGAATAATCCAATGAATCTTCAACCTGTCTCAATACATAGAAAGGAAATTAGGAACAAACAAAAATACAAATCAAATCAAAATAAGACATTTTGTGGGATGTGGGAAGACAGTAAACATAGCTGATATCTTAAATCAAGACATGAGTTATGTGGGGCATCTGAATATGTCCCTATTCTATTTGATGTGCAGTTAATATGCATTAAATGCCCAGTGGAGAGAGGCATACATTACATTAATACAGCTGATGGTAATCCTTCTTGCAAGCACTTGTATGCTGGAATAGCCAGTCTTCAGAATTAATACTGTAATTGATAAATTCTTAAGAAAAAATATTCCTTCCTTCCTTCCTTCCTTCCTTCCTTCCTTCCTTCCTTCCTTCCTTCCTTCCTTCCTTCCTTCCTTCCTTCCTTCCTTCCTTCCTTCCTTCCTCCCTCTTTTCCTTTCTTAGCATCTACATAGAATAGTATAAACTGGATTGTCGGTATTTACAGAGATGATGGAATGAGAATCAAATGGCATATTGCTTTGAAAACATAGCTAGCAGCTACATGTTTTTCTTCTTTTTTACTCTCTGTGAACGAATCTATTCCAGTTGCTCAAGGCTGTTAATCTAGAAGCATAATTGTGTCCACCAGAATGTGATTACACCTCCTCACAGACCTTGCCCATCAACATGACAAGGTCAAAGGTGGGCAACCCATAGGACATTTGCTGTTGTCTGACACATTTTTTGTGGAAACTTTGGTGCCACTGATAAAGATAGCCCTTGGATCTGTGATACATTTGGGTGGACAGTTGCTTCTTAAAATAATATGAGGTTACTGTACACAACTGTCTTTTTCCTGTATTTTCTCTAAGTGTTGTTTCTCTTCATTATTTGAAAATACCAGAATACCCTTTTAAGAACAAAACTTTTATATAGAAAATGTTTAGCATGGGACTTTACTAATTTGCCATATAAGAAGCATAGCAGCAAGAGAGAGAAAAAATATTCTTTCAGCATGAATCTGAGGACATTCCCTTTGCCTGTTATTCTGCTTAAAAATGGTCCCGGCAATGTAATTGCATAGTTGCATTATCACTTCTTATAGCTTGTAGAAGGGGAATAACTGTACCTACACCTTGCATACTTAATGGTGTTTTTAAGCTTTAAGTCAATCATATGAAAGTAATCAAACAAAACTATCCATTGTTAATTTCTTTGAGTTTCCAGCCTTACATTAATAGTCCTGCTTCTGTCCCAGCTTGAAATCTCTCTTTCTCTCATCCGTCTAGAAAAAAATGTGAATTTTGTGATACACATTCCCCTTACCATATGCATTTTGTGCAATAAATAGAATTTTCCATAAATATAAATTATTTTGCTTGCTAATTTCACTAATATAGTCATCATTGTGTTTGTGGGTAGAACTGTAAGAACAAACAGCTTGAGTAGTTTCTCCTATCTCTATCATGCAGAAATCATCACTTGAAGTTGTGCATTTTATATCTCCAGCACAGTTGGCTGCAGTTTCATTTTATCAAGGTTCAAAGCATAAAGTCTACCATTGCAAAGTCTTATGCTCTACTCGCAGAGACTCTCTAGTGATGTCATTAATGCAACTTGTAGAAAGAAGAACTTCACTACTGTTTACATGTTCTGTATATATAGGTTTTGACTTAAACAGGGCTTTTATATGAATTTATTGGTAAAATGTTCATGAAGTGATTGGTAACTTTTTACCGAAGAATGTCCCAAAATTTAGAAAGTATGAACTTCAAAATAGAAATTAATTTTAACTCATATCTGAGAAATTAAATAATTAGTTAAAATGCAAATTATTTGGCTGACATTTGGTTGACAAAGTAATGACATTTTCCCTGGTCTTTACTTTGTACCCAGCTTTTGACATGTTGTAATAGAACTAATGCACACTTGCCACAAATGCAATTAAATTAAATTTCAGCATACTTGAATTTCATGCTTAACTCTTTTCCTGCTGAACTCAGAGAAGCACAGGAACTGAACAAAGCCTCATGCCACACAGCTTTAAATTTAAATACAGTTTAAAGTTAGTTTGGTTTTTTTGTTTAAAAAAAGAAGTCTTCATTTTTTTGGCTTTATCATCCCCAATGCCTCCTCCTTCTCATATTATAGGTAAAACAACATCGATCAACTCCTAAAAATGATGGAATTGGGATTTTTTTTTAATTACAGAGAGATGAAATACATTTGTGCAGAATTTAAATGTATTCTACCTAAAAATACAATTAAGAGTGGAATTGTTTAAGTGAAAACATGCAGACAGAATTGACTAGTAAACATTAGTTTCAGATCTTTAGATCTTAGAATATTGGACAATGTGAGGAAAAGGATAAATAGATTATCCTATTTAAAAGAATATAGAGAGTAACCTATTTATCCAGTATCTATCTATCTACCGATCTATCTCTATCATCTATCAATTTACTTTTAATTTATACAAGTGCATCCACCTTCATTCAATATCAACCCAAAATTAAATGAAAAGTCAGAAATCTTACAAGTTTTCACAACCACATCATTATTATCATTCTTATTTACTCTCCATGCTAATAAAAGAGGAGTATGACACTTCTGAAAACAAAATTGCAAAATACAGAAAATTTGGTTTGACATTTTTTGTTCCCCAGAGGACGGACTGCTGCTTACAAAAGTATTTCTTACAAAAGCTTGAGTGCTTAAGACACAAAATATTAAGACAGAAAACACTTAAGGACACAGGCATGTCACCAGCTGTTACTCATTCCTAATGAAATTGTTAAGTAATATTTTTATAAGTAGGTCAGTGAAACTTTTGAATCTCAGAAAGTGATTCATTTGCGGTAACTTTCCTTCTTGGTAATACAGAATTAAATTAAAACAGGACAATTAAATAAGTGTGAAAAATCAGTATCTATCTGTCTATCTATCTATTATCTATCTATCTATCTATCTATCTATCTATCTATCTATCTATCTATCTATCTATCTATCTATCTATCTTTCTATCTATCTATCTATCTATCTATCTATCTATCTATCTATCTATCTATCATCTATAGTCTCTCTCTGTCTCTCTCTCCGTCTCTCTCTCTCTCTCTCTCCATTATCTATCTACAACCCCCCCTCTCCCTCCCTCCCTCCCTCCATTCATCCATCTCTAATTTAGAGAGCCATCGTGCTCTATAAAACTCTGAGTGGGGTACCTTACGTTAAAGCATATTTCCATTGGTTTCTCTCTTCTCTCCAATGCTGTCAAAACTGTTTAAATATTAAATACTGATATTTTAAAAAATAATGTTGTTAATGGTTAAGTTATGCAGATAAAACTAATTAAAAATTTGTGAAAATTTAAAAAGAAAAAAAATATGAAGAAAAAAATAATTAAGAAGGAAATAAAATAAGTAATTTCCTCCTTTTCCAATAAGTATAAACAACGTTAACAACTTGTCACCTCTCTTAAAATACAACAATCTCTTCATCCCATACTGCACTTATTCTGTATAAACTATCTTTTAAAATCTCATCTTCCATCCTAATCAGCAATAGTCCATTAGAGTTACCAGAAAGGACAAAGTGTCTATTATAAACTTGATCTAATAAAGCTATTTGAATTCCTTCCTTTTATATTTATATCTCTTTTACTTATCATTAAACAATTCCCCAAACCTCATCATTCAAATGTAATAGGTAAAAATCCAATAAAAGTTACCAGATATCACAACATAACTATTTTAACTTTAATCAGATAAATTTAAAATACATCAAATTAACTCATTCCCATATAACTGTTATCTATAAACAAAACCTTAAAATATCATTATCCACTCCTGGTCAGAAAAAAAATCATTAAAAAATTTCCAGTTATCATAACTTATCTATTTTAACCTTGGTTAAATAAACCAACTGTATATTCCTTCCCCCAACATTCTTAATCTTTAGCCCCTTCAAATAATGTCCAAACATTTTAGTTTTTTCCCTCATTTTCTCTTTGTCTCTTCCTTTGAGATGGCAATGTTAACAAATCCCTTGTTTCCTCAGGCATATCTTCAGTTCACTATGTCCTCACCAAAAGTCCCCAGTATGGACAATTTTAAAAGGATGTCATCATGTCTCTCAAAAAGAAAAAGTGCAAAGACTTAGAACCCATTGTGGACCTTCATTTTCACCAATATTACCCTGCAAGATGTAAATGTATAACTCAGCTTCCTCCCTATTCTCACACACCTTAGCCAATGTTCGTTTTCTCCCTTGCCACTTCAATTATCATGTCATTTAAGAGCTATATAGGCATAAAGGGAATTTGCCATAAGCAGAAAAGAAGGTAGGGAAGAAGTAATTTGAAAGATGGTAACTGAATTGGTTAATTCATTCAGTGCTTAGACAGCTACTAGTCACAACAATGGGGGAGAAATCACATCTAAAGGAATCTGGAATTGGATTCAAAGCTTACCATGGAAACACCGTAGTCCAACTAACCATAACCATGCCACAGTCCAACTCTTTTTAACATAGTATTTCACATGTCTAAATGTGAATTGATATGGTAATGGTATGTTCTTCTAAAACATTTTTTAAAGCCTTTCAAGACACAACCTTTTAAATATCTTGTGTAAGGGTAGAATGTTGCAATGAAAGCATATTAATTTCATTTACCTGAAAATGTTCAGCCACAAGTATAGTTCAAAGTGAATGTGTTCAGCTAAGTTACTTTCAGTTCATCCTTGTATCTTTAAACGTTGCTTGATTTGAGCATATTCTGACCTCAAAATGAATGTATTTCCAGGTATCTCGTCACAGAAGGAATCATTCCCAACATAATATACCACATCTTGAAAGTACTGGCCCATTGGAAAAACAGGTAAACAATTGCATTATAGCATTTACAATGTATTGTGCATTTTGTACTTCAGCTTTTATTAATGAAAAGAAAATACATGTTTGAAAGATGAATACTGAAGGCTGAAGATGTCTTATTATCTCAACAGAATAAAAGGGAACTAAAGATCTGAGCAAAGTTGGCAAATGATACACAGTTTAAAATACCTATTCTGTTAAAAGAACTAAATATTTATTATTGAGTAATATTGCTTTTCCAAAACTAACACTTGCACAATAGTAAAATAATATTGTACAATAAAAGCATAAATTGGTCTTGCTGTTATCCTTTCTACTTCAGGTGTATATATACATCTGATATAGATAAGAGCTTGATATCTTTTTTAAAAAACAATAGAAATCAATTTTGGAAGATGGCATTAATTGGTAAAATTTGGGGAACAAAGAAAGAGAAATTGAATCCTCTTTGCTGTCATCCTACATACACTTAATTACTTTGTAGCCAAAGTCTAGGCTGTTTTTATGGCTAGTGCCATCCAGAGTCCAAAAAGGCAGAATAGTTGATTAGTGTTAGCAACTAACAATCCTTATTAGTATTGGTATATTTTGAATTAAGATTTCTTTCCTGGACAGCTCTTATGTTTCTGAGGTAAATTACAGTTGTCCCTAGAAAAAGTTAAAGTAACAGTTTTATTATCTAAGTACAGGGAAAATGATCAGTTGGAAGAATGGGGTCAGTACAAGGCAAGTTTGAAGCAGACCATGTAAGCAAATTATAACTGATGAAGTTAATAATAAGACATGTTCAGTTTTAGCCCAATGGCCACATAAATACATAGGTAAATAAAAGAGAATATTTGTAGCTCAGATTGACGTGAGGGGTCCTTGGTGCTCTCTGAGCTTGCTTGTTTTCTTGCAGACATTTCATTACCCAAACTGAGTAGCATCATCAGTACTAGCACATAGGACACCACATAGGTTTATCTCTGACAATAACTTCCTCAGATAGTCTTGCAAATGTGTTTTGCAGTTAGCAAATACCATACAAGGAGATTTTTTTTAAAAAAACTTATCTATCAAACTCATATGCTGCCAAACTCCCAATTTATGCATCTATACTGTAAGATTCTACATTTAGGCAAGAAAAACCAAATGCACAGGTATAGTATAGGTCACTGGTGGTGAACCTATGGCACGGGTGCCAGAGGCGGCACTCAGAGCCCTCTCTGTGGGCATGCACACCCTTGCCCGGCCCCGCCATCACCCGTGGCCCCCTCCTCACCAACAGTCCCCCCGGAGGAGAGTTGCCCTGGGTGCAGCCTATGCAAAGCAGCGCAGCCAAGGACATGGCAGCCGGGCAGCGGGGACAAAACTCCACCCTCACGCCCCATCCCATGCAGATGATGCTATGGGGCACAGACAGAGGACATGGCCACCATTATACTGCTGGGCTGCCTGGGTGATCTGTTGTCGTGGGCCATGGAGGTGGTGGGTGGCCCTGCGAGCAGGAGACATGGGAACGGGGCAGGGGCAAGGCGGTTTTGGGGCACTTGGTCTCTAAAAGGTTCACCATCACTGTTATAGGTGGTACCTTGCTCAAAAGTAATAACTGTGAGAGGGATCTCAGAGTCCTAGTGGACAATCACTTAAATATGAGGTAGCAGTGTGCTGCAGCTGCCAAAAAAGCCAACATAGTGCTAGGCTGCATCAAGAGAGGGATAGCATCAAGATCACATGAAGTGTTAATATCACTTTACAATGACTTGGTAAGGCCACACTTGGAATACTGCATCCAGTTTTGGTCACCACGATGTAAAAAAGATGTTGAGACTCTAGAAAGAGTGCAGAGAAGAACAACAAAGATGATCAGGAGACTGGAGGCTAAAGCATATCAGGAACGGTTGCTGGAATTGGGTATATCTAGTTTAATGAAGAGAAAGACTAAGGGTCAAATGATAGCAATGTTCCAATATCTCAGGGGTTGCCACAAAGAAGAGGGAGTCAAGCTATTCTCCGAAACACCTGAGGCCAGGAGAAGAAGCAGTGGATGGAAACTAATCAAGGAGAGAAGCAACCTAGAACTAAGAAGAAATTTCCTGACAGTTAAAACAATTAATCAGTGGAACAATCTGCCTCCAGAAGTTGTGAATGCTCCAACACTGGAAGTTCTTAAGAAGAGACTGAACAGCCATTTGTCTGAAATGATATGGGGTTTCCTGCCTGAGCAGAGGGTTGAACTAGATTACCTCCAAGGTTCCCTACAACTCTGTTATTCTAAGTACTCCTCTTTCATTACCATAGAAAAAGGTTGACAATTGGAGCCTCTAATAGTTTCCAATTATGCTTTTTTATTGCCAAGTTTGTATACTTAAAAGTATGAAACTGGTCATGATCTTTCAGTATGTCTATGTCTAAGAAAAATGTGTTGCATGCAGATCCTTCCCATATCAATTTTGCCTAAACCCAGCAAGCATAATGAAGTGATTAGATCTAATAAAAGAGAATATTTATAGCTCAGGTTTGAAATGAGGGGTCCTTGGTGCTCTCTGAACTTACTCATAGGGATGTGGCACATCATCACTAGGACTGATGATGTTATCTAGTTGCATAACCTCATAGGTAGAGCCATATTCAGTTATAATAGAATGCAATGAAGAGAAGCAAAAGTCATAGAATCATAACTTTCAAAGGGATCTTGGAGGTCTACCGCAGTGGGAATCTTTATACCACCCAGTTGTCTAAATTTTACTTGAAAACTTTCAGTTATGAAACACCACAACTTAGAGGCTGTTCCATTGTTAAATTGTTCCAATCATCAAGAAATTTGTCCTTATTTTGAATTCTGGGGGAAAACAAGTGAAGAAATGAAATCTGCTGAGAGTAGAGCCCACAACTGAACAAAATGAAGAGCTGGTGAACGGACTTACTTTTTCCAATTCCTTTCTAGACAAGGAGAGGATGTGGGATCACCCATAAGTGCTCCAGTCAGTTTATCATGAAGGGACAGCAATACAATGGTCTCCATCTGGGAGACAAGGAATAGCCATCTTGCTCAAACTATAGACAACATCTGGGAAAGGACACTGAATTCACTTATTTCCTTTTCTAATAACCTTTGGAAATTACTTGTTAACTGCTTTTCATATATTAGGAACTGTTGGAGTTTTATAGCCCCAAGAGAGTTTCCTTCACTCCTTAGCAAAATAAGTTTTAAAATCAAGTTTAAGGACTTTAAAAAAACCTCTCAAAAGGGTATTAGAATGTTAATTTTGGAAAGTTACAAATGGATAAAGATCCAGAAGGAATTAAAAATAGATTTTGAAATTAATTATAACAATTCTTACAATGGGAAAATGTTATAATTTTGAAGTCTTTTAAAAATGATAGGATGATATTTTGAAAACTGGACACTAGAGAGAATCAGAAGGAACTAAAATTACAATTAAAGGAGAAGAAACCTTAAACCTGACTTAATAAACAGATGAAGGAGGGGTGTGTGATGGTTCAGTGGTTAAAGATATTGAGCTTGACAACCCAGGTTTGAGACCTGAGTGCCACATGATGGGGTGAGCTCCCATTACTTACCCCAGCTACTGCCCAGCTAGCATCTCGAAAGTATGCAAATGAGAGTAGATAAATAGGTACCACTTTGGTGGAAAGATAACAGTATTCCATGCATCTCGGTGTGTAGTCATAATGGCCACATGACCACAGAAGTGTCTTGGGACAATGCTGGCTCTTTCAGTTAAGAAACTTGAGATGAACACTGCCCCTAGAGTTGGATACGACTGGACAGGGAAACTTTTACCTTTATCTTTAAATAGAATGGAGCAAAATCCTTTAACATTGGATGTATAAAGATATTTGTGACTAATTATCAGAGTGTCTGCCATTATAGATAGACTGGGTACAAAGATATGAAAAGGAAGAAGTTTTATTAGATAATACCGAACCTGATCTGAAAGTACACTTAATAATGATAGGCTACAAGAATGATATGCAAAAAAAGATGCTACATTGGAGATTCAAATGAAACTGGTTGATGTTAATAATTAAAGGATATACAAATAACAATCCAAAATAATAATCTGGATAACTTTTCTATCTTGGATTTACAAAAGAGACTTGTTAAAGTTTGGAAGGATCTTGTGAGAAGGGGTTTGACAGGATGAAAGATCAAGATTGTTAAAAGTATAAGACATGAATGTAAAGTTAGTTTATTTAATCAAGATTAAAATATATATGTTTTTATGTCTAGTAACCCTTAATGGACTGAAAAAGGGTTTAGAATTTTGTTTATGGATAAGAGATGAAATATGAGAAGAAGAGATCTTTCATTATATTTTAAGAGAAAATAAGTTACTAAAATTGTTTATCTTTGTGATGAAAGGGGAAGTAATGTTTTATCTATTTAATATTATCTTTCATCTCATTTCTTTCTTTTTTCTTTTCTGCACTTTTTCTTTTTTTGTTTCATTTTTTAATGTGTATTAATTTTTATGTTTTAATAGTAACGTTCATTAATATTACTATTTTTAAAAAAGAAAATTTGTCCTTATTTCAAGTTTGCATTTCAGTCCATAAATTGTCTACCCGCTAATTCTTTTTTCTTGTGTGCTATGGAAAATTAATCCACATATGTACATCATTCCTTTGTATTGAATCTGCAATTATTTTTAGATGAATGAGGTTATAGTCTCCATGGAATTAGTAACCCGATATAATTAGAGTGCCTGTCACCCAAAGAATTATTACCATGCTCAAGTGAATAAGGTCTTACCCTAACTGACCACTTCCCCCATTAATACAAGTAAGTCAGGATAAAAAAATGGACTATAACATAAATTCCCATCTCCCTTCTATATGTTCCATTACCTGTAAAGTGAAATGAGATCCTGGCTAAATATTTATCATCATTGCATTCATGTGTTCATTTGTGAAGGAAATCTTTGTCAAAGGGAGTATTTTTTATTCCAGGAAGAAATAATTATCCCCCAGCTTAATTAACTATCTAGATCACATTCCTGAAATAAATCAACATATTTCTATTATTTCTAAAGCCACTTTCATGTGCATTTCATAATTTTTCTTGCCACTATTAAAGCATATGCCCAGTAGATGCAAATAGAGATACCACAGTACCTCTAAAGAAATAAACATATGCTAGCTAATCATATATACTTATATACATACAAACATATATACATACATACATACATATACATACACACCCATGTTTTCCCAAAAATAAGAAAAGTTATATTAATTTTTGCTCCAAAAGACGCATTAGAGCTTATTTTACGATTAGGTCTCATTTGGGGGAAAATACTGTACTAAATGCATCCATCTGGCTGACAGTCTTAACTGGGAATTATTTGGGGGTTGGGGCTTATATTATGAGCATCCTGAAAAATCATGCTAGGGCTTATTTTCCGGTTGGATCTTATTTTCAGGGAAACAGGGTATACACACACACACACACACACACACAAAACTAAATTGGGTCCTTCAACTTTCTGCCTTGTTTCTCTATTAATTTCTCTCCATCTCTTCCTCAACTTTTCCTTCACTGGAAAGGTACAGAAAGGGTAGCACTGAAAAAAAAATCACAAACAAATGATGGATATTTATTGAGGCAGAAGAGATAGCAAGTGCTGTAAGGCCATTTCATGTTCAGTAATCTCATGTCATCCATCTGTGAAATGGCTGAAAAGATAACTTGAATTATCTTGGAGGGACTGTGATGAAACTATTTTAACAGATGGTTCCCAGCACAGCCGACAGATGTCTAATATGGTCCAGGTTCAGATGTAGTAATCTTAATTTCTGAACTGTGCTCTTATGCCCTAAAACCAAGGGAAAAGATATAATGAAGGCAAGAAGCAATCCCAATGTCTACCTTTTGCCACTGTTAAATTTGCATCAATACAGAATTGCAGTTTCTGGTTGTTTCCAACTTTTGCTGGATGTACTGACCTCCCCAATTTGGTGCCTTCCAAAATCTGTTGGATTTCAATTCCAGTGTTGTATTTTCCATCTTGGCCAAGGCCTACTCTTACTACTGTAAGTTCAATGACAATATTAGTCTAATATCTGGAGCTCATTAAGTTGGAAAGTTTAGACTAAATTACATAGGCTAGGAATAACAAAGAAATCTCAGCTTGGATGAATAGAAGATTTCTCCAACTCAAAGTTTAGCTAGAGGAAAATAATTTTCTTGTCAGTATTCTGAAATGTACAGTGTAATATATAAGATAACAAAGGAGAAGATGAAGAAACCACATGTTTACTGCAAACATGATGCTACAGGGTGGAGAGAATATAAAATAGAATATTTTTTATATTAATTATATTATTTAATATGAACTAATTTATGGGAACTTAATGGAAAGTAATATAATCTCAGTATGCAACAATGCAGATCTAGAAACAAGGGTGATACATGTTTTTATTTTAAAACAACAACCCTGAGAAGTTTGAATGATATAAACATTAGTACCTTGAACAAAGGTTTTAAAATTCTCAGGGGCTCATGAAGAATATGCATCATGTAGCATATGTGTTGCCCAACATGTTTCAAAGTATCAGCTGTTCATATGCTTTTGTGTTTACATTTAAAAACTTGCTAATAAAAACAAACAATATTATAAATGAATCTTTTATAGCCCATTGCTTGAATATTTTAATTTTAAAGTGTCTATTAAGCTAAGAGACATATTTTATTTTTAGTAACAGCCTATGAGGTTATGCAACAATGTGCTATTCAGCCAACCTTCATCCTTTGATGATGATGCTATTACGTACATAAGATACAGAGGTTACATATACACATACATGCATAGATAGAGCTCAATCATTATAAGATTGAATAAAGCTCTGATTATAGTGGGATATAAATTCTAGCATTTTACTTTGGATAGTTTTTAGACTTTGATCTGCCGTGATCAGATTCCTTCTTAGCCACTGTTTCCAGTCCTGGCTGCCATATTTTAAGAAAGATTCAGAAAAATTAAAACAGGATTAGAGAAGGGAAAATAAAATACTAGAAATCCAGTTTTATGAAGAGAAATCCAAGAAGATGGGAAATATGGTATCCCTTTTCAAATACCTGAGAAGATGTTGCATAAGGAAGAAGATCCTCAGCTCCTTGTTCTAGAAACAGAGTTATAGATTTAAGTTAGAGGAAAATCTGTTTTAGGAGAAAAAAAAATCCTAACAATAAGAGCAGTTTGACAGTGGAACCAATTGTCCAGACAGATGGTATGGTTCCCATTCATTGAGTGCATTCAGGTGGAAGCTAAACAGGCATTATGTCATCAGAAATAACAGTATAGTAGAATAAATAAACATTGTGCATCGACTTATTTATTGCAGATAATCAAAGAAGGCTATCTTCTAAAGGCTAAAATTGCAGATGAAGGCAAGAAGCTAAGGTAGGTGACATTAAATAGTTCTAATACTGTATAATCAGAAGTACAAAGCAATATGTTATTTGACTTGAGATTCAGAGAACAGGCAATCATCAAGCTTGGTCTGCAGATCAAGTTCATTTTCCCCCAGTAATTTTCTTCGAAAGTTCAAAGAGCTGTAAATTATGCCTCCACTTCCCCCAAAGCTCTCTAAACATCAGATCTTCTATAATTTCATTATCAAGTTGCCATTTTTAACATGAAGAAGAAACAAGAACTTTAACCCATTCTATGGCTGATGCAACTTTGTTCCTTAATTTGAATCTTGCTCTACAGTCTTGAATTTTAATTTTACCCATCATTATTCCATAGGGGAAAAATTGAAGTGTAAGCCTGGAATAATATCCCTAGAAAGCAGAAATGGAGAACATGCTGAAGCTCTCTATAATTTGTGGTGAAAAAAAAAACTGTATTAGGAAGAGAGCAGTTGTCTGTGTGTCATTCCTACTCTCCACTTCAGGCTGAGAACTTAAAACTCTTTGTGATGTACATGATTATCCCTCTGCCTGGATCCTAATCTGAGGGGAGGTTACTTACCCAACCAGTGCTGGAAATATCTCCAGTTGATGATATTTGAATATGGAAAATGTATCAAGAGATTTGGGGGCTGGAGTAATAAATATCGGAGCAACTGAAGTTTCAACTATTTTATGTCTGACTTCCCGTATCTGTATTTCCTGATAGCCATTTTGACATCCACAGTCAATTCAGATGCTCATTGGCTGAGATAATACAGTCTCATGGATGTATCAATCAGAGGGGGAAACATTGATTTTTTTCAAAGGGTTACATTCTGATGTGGAACACTAGGACTCAGGGGTGTCAAACTGCCAGCCGGTGGGACAGTTTCATCATACCGAAGCCACACCCACCCCATTGCCGGCAATGCAAAAAGAGTCATGATACGTCGCGGCACATCACTTGATGTAGTGAGTTTGACACCCATTCACTACGTGAAAAGTCTTTTAAGTCAATTGTGGAATAAGTTAAATAATCTTGTAAGAAGACTGTATCCTTACAGTAGTGATAAATAGTCACTAAGCATATAGACCTGCTCACATATCTTAGTTGCTTTTAATTAGTGCTGTCCTAAAAATCAATTGTCCAGTTAAGAAGGACCTTTTGCAATTTTTCAAAGGGCTCTTATCTTATTTATGTATTTATTTATGTAGATTGTACTTTTATCCTATGCTTCAGCCAAAGGAAGGTGGAGCTTGTGATCAATACTTTGTTTTCAGTGCAATGTGCTCCGAGAGGCAGAGAAAAACACCACAATATGCATCACAGTTGAACGAAGAATTAAATGCAAGTTACCAATTCAGCCCCACTAATGATCCAAGCGTACCAAATTATAATGTTATGTTTTTAAATATACTGTATATCTGTCATGGATTACATTTACTGTATACATTCACACCTATGAAAACAAAAATATAAGGAATGTAGAAACAAGTGTTTTTTTCTTCTTCTTTAAATGATCACTTCCTATCATTCAGGTGGAATTCAGGAAAATTGGAAGTGCCAACATTCTTTTGCTAAATTGTCGGATGAAACTTCAAAAATCTGTATCTTTAAGGCTATATAGCAGTATAAACCACATTGATCTTATAATGTGCTGCCATCAGGTGTCCATTTGCTAGAATGCAAATATAATGATCAAAGGAAGACTGCTATGGAAAGTCATTGATTTCAATTTTAAAAACTAGCTCAAACTCTGAAGCTGTATCTCCTGCAGCTGTGAAATCAATGTCCTATCGTTGTATGTAACAATTTTATGATTCAGATGGGTTAAATCTGATAGCTGCAGGATTTTTTGCATCATTTTTCTGTTACTTTCTGAATGATGCTTCCTTTTAATGTTTTGATATTTAGGTTTCTAACTAAATTCCAACATTGTTTGCGCTCTCTCTCTCTCTCTCTCTCTCTCTCTCTCTCTCTCTCTCTCTCTCTCTCTCTCTCTCTCTCTCTCTCTCTCTCTCTCTCACTCACTCTCTGTCTCTGTCTCTCTCTAGCTGTCTGTCTCTCTCTGTGTCTGTGTGCCTCTCTCTCTCTGTGTCTCTCTGTCTCTCTGTGTGTGTGTGTCTTCCTCTGTCTCTCCATCTCTCTCTCTGTGTGTGTCTCTCTCTCTATCTCTCTCTCTGTGTCTATCTGTGTGCATCTCTCTCTCTCTCTCTCTCTCTCTCTCTCTCTCCCTGTTGCATGGTTGCTGTCATTCATCCATCTGCACATGTGTAAAACTGCTTTGACTGAACTGTTTTCTGTTGATGGAGAAAATGATAATTTATATATATAGTGCTTTGTGAGTCTTTCAGAGGGCTCTGCGTCTGTAGTTAATTTTAATATAATTTTAGGTCTTGATGATGCAATGACTTTATCTCTGACCAGTGGGCCTAAGGCAGAGTATGCAAGAGAAAGCAAAGAAAACTGAAGATAAGTTACATGAAAACTAAAGTGTTTACTAAAAGACACAGTAATTACAAGCATAATTGGAAAATAAATATTTGGAAATCATCATCCAATCTTCCCTAAGTTGGGAAAACCAAACAAAAAATTTCATAATTTGAGCCTTAAGGCTATCTAATGAAATACTTTGTTTTCCTGTATGCCTAGACAATTATTTAGTTTCTACAATTATAACATTTTGTAAGGGCAAGGTATTGGGCCTTCTGCTGAATGGCACATTGGTCTCTTCATACAAGCATCTGAGAACCATACAAGAAACCTGGACTAAATATACAAATGGATAAATATGCAACGGGACAGCCACTTGTCTGAAATGGTATAGGGTCTTCTGCTTGAGCAAGGGGTCTTGAAGACCTCCAAAGTCCCTTCCAGTGCTGTTATTCTGTATTCTGTTAAGTGCTACTCTTCTGCGTCCTTTGAGTTATATGTCAAATCTTCTGTTTCCTCTATAAAGGCATGTTTGAAAATTTGGCAGATATTGGATAAAACTGAACTGCACAGGAGGCTCTGTTCACCTGTCCCCCACTCCTTGTCATCATCAAATTTGCTTCCTCCTTGAAAAAAAAGAATAGAAAATACTGAAGTAATTGCTGCTTGTCAGGCTCAATTCTTGCTCCAACAAGGATATGAGAAAGTCTCTTTGGAGTTCAAGCAGTGTGTTGATTTATTAAAACGCTGCATTGTAGCTCCCCACTATGGTTAAGGACAATATATGAAGAAAGCCTTTCTTCCTAGTCAGCTCTCTCAAATATTGTTTTGCACACAAGAGCATGTTTGTTTGCTAGGTTTAATATCATGCCATCTATGGTTCAATGTCCCTTTACAAACTAACTGTGCCCACTTTGCAGGGATCAGATAAATTAGTTAAGAGGATGATAGAGTTGGAAGGGATCTTGGAAGTCTTCTAGTTCAACTCCCTGCTCAAGCAGGAAATCCTATACTATTTCAGACAAATAGTTGTCCAATCTCTTCTTAAAAACCTCCAGTGATGCAGCACCACAACTTCTGAAGGCAAACTGTTCCACTGATTGTTCTCACTGTCAGGAAATTTCCCTTAATTGTAGGTTGGTTCTTTCCTTGATTAGTTTCCATCCATTGCTTCTTGCCCTGCCTTTAGGTATGTTGGAAAATAGGTTGACCTCCTCTTCTTTGTAGCAACCCCTTAGATAGTGGAACATTGCTATCATGTCCCCCCTAATCCTTTTCATCAGATTAGACACATCCAATTCCTGCAACTGTTCTTCATATATTTTAGCTTTCAGTCCTCTAATCATATTTGTTGCTCTTCTCTGCACTCTTCCATAGAGTCTCAACATCAATTTTATATTGTGGAGACCAAAACTGGAGGCAATATTCCTCATGTTTTGCTGCACTGATTTATGCATCAATCTTGGCACCCTGTTCTAATAAGGCCTCAGGAAGGTTGCTAAATTCTATTCAGCCATTTGTCCGAAATGGTATAGGGTTTCCTGCCTGAGCAGGGGTGTGGACTAGATCAGGGCTTTTCAATCAGTGGTAAGGGTACCACCTGTGGTACATTGGCACCTGGCAGGTGGTAGTGACCATCCTAGAAAAGTAGTGGGGGAGGGGAATGAGCTGAACCTGTGGCAGCACTGCACAAGCCTGAGCGAGAGATGGCTGGAGCTGCAGGGCTGTCAGGGCTCAGTGGAAGTGCCAGAATCAGTGCCACTTTCCAGCTGATCGGCACTTCTTCAGGGCTGTCAGGGTTCAGTAGAAGCACCAGGATCAGCGCCAGGCTCCAGCTGGAGCTCTGTGCTGATCCTGGTGCTTCTACTGAGCCCTGAAGAAGCACCAATCAGCTGGAAAGCGGCACTGATCCTGGTGCTTCTGCTGAGTCCAGAAGAAGTACTGATCAGCTGGAATGTTGCAGCATCTCCAGGGTCTTGTGATTTACATTCAGATGCTTGGCAACTGATTCATATTTATGACGGTCACAGTGTCCCAGGGTCATGTGAAGTGACCAAAACCTTCTGCAACCCCCCACCAGATGGGGGGAATAAAAACCAAACACCCCCCACCCTATCCCCGCTGCCAATCCTCAACAGAAATGAAAACCTCAGACAGGAGGAAGAGCGCCGCTGGGCAGGCAGGCAGGTTTCTTGCTTGGCTGTGGCTTGGGGGGCACTTTTTTCAGTGCCATTGTAACTTCAAACAGTCACTAAGCAAACTGTTGTAAGTTGAGGACTACCTGTACTTTATCACTTTTTTCCTTTTTTTGGTCATCAAGTTTTTGACACCTTGCTAGGTGACGGGTGGTACTCGGATGTTGCCATATCCTAAAAGTGGTACAATGGGTGAAAAGATTGAAAAGCCTTGGACTAGATGACCTCCAAGGTCCCTTCCAACTTTATTATTATTATTATGAATCATCGCACAGTCAGCCAGATGTTCAGACTGGATTTGGCATTTTCTCTACCTATCGAGTCCTTACCCAGGACCTGGGATAGGCAGATGTGGATGTTTGATGGTATTACAGATATCGTCGCAGGATGGAAGCAGTTCCTAGTAAGGCCGCCTTTTGCAATTGACTAATAGCGAATTTGTCAATGCCAATGGTGTTCAAGTGGTGCTCCAGTTGTTTTGGGATTGTACCCAAGGCACCTATGACTATTGGTACTACCCTTGCTTGCTTTTGCCACAGTCTTTCTATTTCTATTTGTAGGTCTTTGTATTTTGTTATCTTCTCCAGTTCTTTCTCGTCTATTCTGCTGTCTCCAGGCACTGCCACGTCCACTATTCAGACTTTTTTGTCTTTCTTATCGACAATTGTTAAGTCTGGGGTATTATGTTGCAGGTGCTTGTCTGTCCCAGAGCAGTTTAATTTTATCATTTTCTATGACTTTCTCTATTTTATGATCCCACCAGTTTTTGCTTACAGGCAAATGATATTTTTTGCAGATCTTCCAATGCACCATTGTTGCTACTTTGTCATGCCGCTGCTTGTAGTCAGTCTGTGCAATCTTCTTGTAACAGCTTACCAAGTGGTCCACTGTTTCTTCAGCTTCTTTGCATAGGCGGCACTTACTGTCTGTTGCTGTCTTCTCAATTTTGACTTTGTATGCATTTGTCCTTAAGGCTTGGTCTTGTGCAGCCAGAATTAGTCCCTCGGTCTCTTTCTTCAATTTTCCTGCTCTTAGCCATTGCCAGGTCTTGTTATTATCTGCTTTCCCAGCTATTTTTTTTAATGTATTGGCCATGTAGTGCTTTGTCTTCCCATGCCTCTATTCTGTTCTTCATTTGATCTTTCTTGTAGGCCAGTTTGGTCTCTCCAGTAGTCAGTAAGCCTTCCTGATATACTAATTTCAGTGCATCTTCATCATTGTTCTTCAGATATTCTTCCAAAGCCACTTTTTCTTCTTCAACCATCTGATGTACTTGTAGCATTCCACGCCCACCTATTTGCCTTGGTAGATAAAGTCTATCAATGTCACTGCGTGGATGAAGGGCATGATTCATTGTCATTATTTTTCTGGTCTGCCTATCCATTGCTTTTAGTTCTGCTTGAGTCCAGTCCACTATTCCAGCTGTGTACCTAATGACTGGAATTTCCCAGGTGTTGATTGCCTTTATGGTATTTCCTCCATTGAGTTTGGACTTTAAGATCTTCTTCACTCTCTTGATGTATTCACCTCTAATCTTTTTCTTGACTTCAGTGTGCTTGATGTTGTCAGCTTGAAGGATACCCAAGTATTTGTAGTAATCTTCCTCATCCAGACTCTTAATGTTATTTTCGTGGGGCATCTTGATTCCTTCAGTTTTCACTATTTTTCCTTGTTTGATAGTAAGTGTGGCACATTTGTCCAAGCCAAACTCCATTACAATATCTTGGCTATATATACGGACAGTGTTGAGCAGCGATTCTATTTCAGATGATGTTTTTCCATACAGCTTCAGATCATCCATGTAAAGGAGGTGGGATAGTCTGGCAGATGTTTTTGATGTTTGATAGCCATGTCCTGAGTTATTCAGTATGGTTGACAGAGGAAACAGTGCAATAACAAATAGTAATGGTGATAATGAATCTCCTTGAAATATTCCTCTCTTGATATTAACCTCTCCCAGTCTCTCACCCTTGATCTGCAACTGTGTCTTCCATGGTGCCATCGATCTTTGCACAAATTTTCTGATGTTTCTACTGACTCCTGTTATTTCTAGGCACTTGATTATCCAGTCATGTGGCAGAGAGTCAAATGCCCTTTTGTAGTCAATCCATGCTACATTCAGATTGGTCTTTCTTTTCTTGCAGTTTTCCAAGATCATTTTGTCTATTAGGAGTTGATCTTTTGTTCCTCTGCTATTGGGGCGGTTTCCTTTTTGCTCAGGTGGAAAGAGATTGTTTTCAACTAGATGCTGTTGTACTGCATCAGCTACCACACCAGTTAGTAATTTGAAAGTTGTTGGTAAGCAGGTAATTGGCCTGTAGTTGCCTGGTGTTGCCCCTTTTGCTGGATTTTTCATTATTAGGTAGGTTTTCCCAGTTGTTAGCCACTTTTCAATTTCTCCTCCTTGTAGTATATTGTTGAACTGCTTGGCAATGAGTGGGTGTATAACAGTTAGATGTTTCAACCAAAACCCATGCAGTTCATCTTCACCTGGTGCTGACCAATTTTTGATTTTCCTTGCTCTTTTTTCTACCATTTTGTTGTTATTACTAGTTCTTTCATTTCAACTTCTGTTTTATTTGCATCCACCTCTTTTAACCAAGCCGCATCCTTGTTGTATTTCTTTGGGTTATCCCATATCTGCTTCCAGAACTGCACTGTTTCTTCCTTGTCAGGTACTGACTGATTCCTTGCAGTTTCTCCATTGATGGATTGGTAGAAATGTTTCTGATTGGATTGAAATTGGAGGTTCTGCCTATAGTTTGCAATTCGAGCTTCATATCTACTGATTTTCCTGGCTATAGCTGTTATTTGTTGCTTTATTATTTCCAGTGCTTCCTTGATCTTCCTTGTTTCTAAGTGGTATTTCTTGATTAGGTATTCTTTGGTCTTCTTGTTCTTCAGCTTCTTTTCTTTCATCTGTTCTAGCTTGCTTGCATGTGATCTTAACTTGCTGATCTTATTTTCTAGTCTAACCTTCCATTTTTGTGGAGCGCTGTTTTTTTGTTTTTCTTCTTTGTTGATTTTGCATCTTAGGTATTCAGTTATAACTGCAGCTGTGCTGTACATTAGTTGGTTTGTTTCTTGCAGTGAATTGGTGCTTATACTTGATATTGCAGTATTTGCATCTTTTAATGCTTGTGCTAGCTGTTTCTTTGGAACAAGCTTCAATGCAGGCACCCTTATTCTGTTGTTTTTGTGCTGTTCTAGATGCTCAGTTATTCTTTGTTTCAATTCTTTTATTTATTTAGTTAGAGGGTTATTATTATTATTATAAATTTGCTAGCTGTTGAAAAAAACTTGCTTCATGGACCAGCACCCTAATATCTTATTAATCTAAGAAGTTCAGACTTGGAAAATTTCAGTGCTCTTATCATTAAATTAAATTTAATAATAATATATATTAACAATATATATTATAATATATAACATAATAATATATTAATTTAATATATTAAATTAAGATTGCAATAGCTACATCCAAAACAATGAGTAATCCTCTTCCCTTTTTTATGTCTTAACTGCAATCCTACAAACATTTGAATTTTTTTTTCCAGTAAGATAAATAGATTTTTATGGAATACTGAGATTATTTTTGCCTGCATTTTCTGATAGTATCCAATTTTAAAGAGTGAATTCATGTCAAAGAAGTATTGGTAGATAAAGGTGATAAAAATGGACATTTACCTTTTAGATGCTGAAATTTCTCCTCCTCTTCCTTCTCCTTCTCCTTCTTCTTCTCAGCTTCTCCCCTGTATATTTTTTGCCTTCAATTTATTTAATAAATATATTTGTCTGCTACTTCTCCGAGTCATAGACATTTTGGAATGCTCGTCTACAGAAGCAGTTATGGTCCTCAGGAGTTTAATTGATGCATTTCTTTATATATTATATTTAAGGAAAAACTGGAGTACTTCTTGGATTGTTCTCACTGGACGAAAAATAGAATTTTATAAGGAATCCAAACAGCCAGCTGTGCTCAATCTGGTAAGCAGTTATCTTTCTCGTGTCTCATCTTTTCAGAAGTGCTATTGAAAAAAAGTTTGGCATGATAAAAAAAAAAAGTTGCTAAGACTGCAGAGTTGCTAAGCCTCAGACTTCTGAGAGCAGATGTAAGAAAATGGCTCAATAAACTTTTAATCAGATGAGAGAGGAAAGAGAAATAGAACTCAGCATATCTTTTATTAAGAGGTGCTTTTGGAGAATAATTGCAAAGTGAGACGGATGGTGAGTGGCTCTTTCTTAATGCGGAGGTAACGCTTTAAATTAAGGTGCCAGTTATAAATGCTTTATTCTTATTTATGAAATGATCTCTAAATGCAACTACTTCCTCAAGTAATGTATTATAAAGTGTGTTATAAAATGCATTAGTAATAAATGCTTAACGGATGATGCGATGAGAATCTGTTACAAAGAATATTATAAGATGTAAATTGTATTAAACCCTGTGTTTGCATCTTTAATACATGAATTTAAGTTGCTATTGAGCTTGCTATAAAGCTCCTTGCATATCATAAATAATAATAAAGTAGTTATAAATTGCACCTTAATACAGGGTGTTACCAAAGAGCAAAACAGTGTAACTTAACAAAGTGATTTTTATCTTCATATAAATGTGACATTTTCTGTTTCTGCCTAACATTTTATGAATGCGCCTTATGATTCCATCTAATAGACTTAATGCATCTCTAAGCAGAATTCACTGTGCTTTATTTTTTTTTAATGTACCTCAAGGAGAGGCTGCTGATCATACCTTTGTAGAAACATTGGGGAAATCACCATGGCCTGTTTCCTTTCCAGGCTAGAATGAATGTCTTTTTCTCTGGATTTCAAAAAAGAAAAACAATCCAGAAAAAAATTCCAAAGTACCAGTATAAAAATGTATAATTAGCTATTAGCAGCTAGAAAAGGAAGGCAGAAAAATGAGGGAGGGGGGAGAGAGAGAGAAGAAAAATATGAGTGAAAAAAAAGAAGGGAGCTATTAGAATGTTTGTTTTTTATTTTTGTTCACTTTTTTGCCTTTTTAATTTTTTTATAGCCATCATATGATTTAATTTCACTACTAATGTAATGTTTATTTTAAAAATGAGTATGTATTCACTTCCTTTTTTTAACTTTTCTGTTGTTTATTTAATTTATTAAAATGTGAATAAGAGCAGCAATCCAGAAACATATTCAACTACAGCTAAAATAAGGGAAATAGAGGGTAAATGGTTATAATTTTAAACAAAACCAGTAGCAAAATATGGAAATGGCTTTGAATGTGGTGCTCAAGGATCCAAAAATTATTTTGAGACTTCCTCCCTCCCTCCTTTCCTCTCCTCCCCTCCCTCTCTTTTTCTGAGATAACATTGCAGAAATGAGGAGGCAGGGTTAAATCATCAATTTTGTTTGTGGAAATTCCAAAAGCACTCAGGAAATCAGGAGCAAACAGCATGCATTGATTTGGCCTTTATTTTGGCAAATCAGAACAAGCCAAAACCATTCTTACCAGGAAAAATTAGCAGTTTTGCTCCTGAATTTCTGTAGTGCCACTTTGGAATATTCCAAAGGGCCACAAAGGCTGTGCCCTTGTCACATACGTAATATGATGGATTGGTTCCATTCTTCACACCTCCCAACTTCTATGTTGAACCACTGCAAATTAGATTTCATTATGTGATATCACAAAACCAATTGAGAGATAAGATATACTGTGTTTTCCCCAAAATAAGACCTGGTCTTATATTATTTTTGCCTCTAAAAAAGGCATTAGGTCTTATTTTCGGTGAACGTATTATTTTTTTCCAGGAGCTGCCCCATGTGCCCCACACCTGCTTACTGTGCTGCAGGGCTCCTGCTGCTATTGCTGCAGCAAGGCCTGTCGTGCTGCAGCCACCACCAGCACAAGGTGTGTCCTGCCATCATTGCCGCTGTCACCGCAAGGCGTGTCCTGTTGCCATTGCTGCTGTGAGGCGCGTCCTGCTGCTATTGCCATCACCACAAGGGGGAGCTGCCCCACATGCCCCACACACGCTTACCATGCCACAAGGCATGTCCTGCTGTCATTGTTGCCGCCAGCACGAGGTGAATCATGCTGCCATGAGGCATGTGCTGCCGCCGCCATGGGGGACATCCTTCTGCCATTGCCACCACTGTGAGGCATGTTTTGTAATGTGCCTCATGGCGGTGGTGGCAATGGCAGAACCCGCCATGCATCGGCAGCAGCAGTAAGACCCCTGCGGCACAGTAAGCAGGTATGGGGCAGCTCCCCCATCCCCCCTGCCTCACCTCACTTTGTGTCTTAGCAAATAAGTAGGGCTTATTTTGGGGGTAGGTCTTATTTTTGGGAAAACACGATAGGTTGTCCTTGATTTACGATCATAATTGGGACTGAAATCTCTATCATTAAGCAAGATGGTTGTTAATTGAGTTGTATCCAATTTTATAGTCTTTTTGCTGTGATCATTAAATTAATCACATGGTTTGTTAAGTCAATCTGGCTTCCCCCTGCTGATTTTGCTGATTAGAAATCAGCTAGAAAAGTTGCAAATGTGACCCCAGGACACTGCAACATTATAAATACATGCCAGTTTTCAAGCTTGTGAATTTTGTTCATGTGACCATGGGCCTGCTGAGATGGTTGTTAAGTATGAGGGCTGATTGTAAGTCATCTTTTTCAACACCCTTGTAACTTCAGTCACTAAAAGAATGGTTGTAACCTGAGGACTGCCTGTCACTCTTACCCCAGAATCAGTTTTATCCTCTTTGTAAATCCACTCTCTTTTTAAAAAAATGACTTACTTTTCCTTAGAACCTACAATAGAACAGAAATAAATGTACACCATATTCAGTCAACAGTAAATAAAACAATGACCAAACATTTCTGCACTATAGAGGTTAGCCTTTCTGTTACATTACATTGTTTTATTAATGGCTGAATTCTCTCATTGTCAAAGTATGCCTGTTAATAATGTAATAAGATTTTTTTTTATTATTACAGGCCTAGCACGAAAAAAAAGTTTGAACTCTGGAGACAAGCTTATTTGCTTCTGATGCAGATTAATGTGATTTTCTTTTCTTTTTTTAAAAAATCATCCTGCCATAATTTTTCATAGCACAAAGAAAATAAACCTATACTTCTGACTGATTAAAAATTGTTTACCAATTTTACTTTTAAGAATGGTTTATTTTGGAGAATGAAAGAATCCAACCATTAATTCAATCATGTAATGAAGTCGATGTTTGTTCGTTGCAGTATGAATTTAATAGCATAGCGATTTTACAATGAAAATACTGTGATTTCCCATAAAGGTGGATATATATATATATACTCTACTTAGAAATAAGTTAATTCATTAGTTCTTGATTAAAGGCTATGTTATAAATACAAAACATGAAGCAAAACTGCATTCACTCACTCTTCCATTTTCAGACTCCATTCTGGTTTTATTGAGAGTAGATATTTCATCAGGTAGAACATTTGACATTTGTGCCAGCTTTGGTTAACAGGACAGTTAACCGGACTGTTATAAATTGATTTAATTATTTAATTAATGGCCATCCAGTCCTCACCATGTGGCTGGGTGGTTACCAAACAACTAAAAACATCAGCAAGATAACAGAGGTATTAATTAAAAAGATATCTGTCCCTCTTATGCATCCCTAATAAATATACCATTTTAAAATGAGCTCCTCCTACTTCTGGCTCAGGGTTTTTGGAAAAGAACCCCAGAGCAAGCACAGCAACAGAGAAGGACGCCTCCTAGCTCCTATTGAGTAACATTGAAAGTACATGGAGCACACTAACCGTGGGGCATCTTGGGAAATGGACCATAATAATTGGAAAAGTTGTGTGCCTGTCAATGCCTAAGATGTAGATAGGTAGGTAGGTAGGTAGGTAGGTACTATAAGTAGATAACAGGAACACTATATTTTATAGGTAATTGCAACAGTTCATTTAGTGACTAGCGACTGTTCAAAGTTACAACAACACTGAAAAAAGTGACTTATGATTGTCTTTCACACTTATGACCATTTGCAGCATCCCCACGGTCACATGATCAAAATGTGGATGCTTGGCAACTGGTTCATATTTATGACGGTTGCAGTGGCCTGGGGTCATGTGATTGCCTTTTGCGACCTTCTCATCAGCAAAGTCAAATAGAGAAGCCAGGTTCACTTAACCACCGAGTTACTAATTTAACAACTGCAGCAATTCGTTTAGCAACTGTGTCAAGAGAGGTTGTAAAATGGGGCAAAGCTCACTTCACAACTACCGCACTTAGCAATGGAAATTTTAAGCTCAATTGTGGTCGTAAGTCAAGGACTACCTGTATACCAATTTGAAGGAAACATTTTTAACTGGCCACTCTTAACTTTATCACAGGCTGACCTGTCTCTGTTATAAAATATTAGGTTGCTATGCATTCTTTACATACAGTTGTTAGCAATGTTCTCTGAAGACCATCTCTTTTTAAGCAAATTTCTGTTTTGACATGAAATGCTAGCCCAAGTACATGTTTTTAGCCTCCAGAAACCTCAGCAGATAGTAATATAGCTCAGGCTATTAGTCCTTGTGCAAACTAATTTGCTGGACAAAAGTGCTCTCTACATCCGTATTCACAAAAACAGGATTTAAATGTAAAGGACACTTTTAGCACTTTTTATAAGAACTGTTTCTTCCAACTGTTTTGATAGAACATAATTGACCTGACTGCAAAATACAAAGCAAGGGCATTTATTTAGCTATTTAAAAGATTTATATGGACATTTATCTTGTAAAACACAACTTTGGGAAGGTCACATCAATACCCTGCCTAAATCCAGCCCTCCAAGAAAAAACAGGCAGCTATTCCACCATCTCTGGGCATTCATCTACACCAGGGGTAGGCAACCTTGGCTCTTTTATGACTGGTGGACTTCAACTCCCAGAATTCCTGAGGGGAAAGGGAGAGGTTTCCAAGCTGTGCCATGCTGGCTCAGGAATTCTGAGAGTTGAAGTCCAC